AAGGGGCAGAGTTGTAGATATAGAGTGGTAAGAAGAACAACGAAAGAGCTTACCTGGACCAAAAACCTCCGCGTCCCCCCAAATAATCATACTCCTACAAAGTCCCTTAAATGTATACCCATCTGGTAACTTCCCCCTCGCCGGACTTAACAATGTACTACGCAAGTCGGGGCGATTTTCACAATATTGATATCCCACTATCCAAAGCATTTCATTATTCATAAAATCCAACTCGATTAACTCTCTCTCTTCTTTTTCTCCTTCTCCCTTCCCATCAAACCTGGACATCAAATCCACAAATGGAGATATCAATATCGCATTTTCCGGCATAGGAAATTTGTGTTTGTTAAGGTAAAGTAATAATGTAATCGCTATACCCGCCCCGCCCGAATCTCCCATGATCGAGATATTTTCCGCACGGTATCCTTTTTCGAGAAGGAAAGAAAATGCAGAAATGGCATCTTGCAGTGCACCTGGAAAGGCCGTTTTAGACGTTACACATTTCCGAAAATTGACACTGAAAATCGGAATCCCAGTTTTTGACATCACGCGCCAGGGAAGAGAGGAATTTAGTGGATGGCCTTCCACCATTCCGCCGCCGACAAAATACATCATGATTTTCTTTTCCGCGACGGGAATATCGCCGTGCAATGGAGATGTAATCGCATCAGTCCATTGCCAAAAACACGGACAATCTTCCGTTCTCATACCCACAAATATCGCATCTCCCCGGATCCATTTTTCATCTGGCAGCGGTATAACCTCCAATTGCGCATTTTGTCCAGAAGCAAGTTTGGGGATGGTACAGCGGGCGCTCAGGGAGCCGACATCTTTGAAAGGTTGGGTGCCCGGGTGTAGAGACCAGATGATGTAGGAGCCAATAAGGAGAGAGGTTCGGTATTTGAAAGACCAGTGGGAACGACCGTAATAGGGGCGGCAAAAAATGGAGGAGAGGAATACGAGGGGGATTTGCGGTGGCACGACCAGGAGAGAATAAATGAGGCGGGAGAAGCGGTGGCAGTGTTGAGTTAGGAGGGGGGTGCGTTGCCAACCGCGGATTTGGGGGATTGTGGGGGAGGGGACGAGCATTTTTTGAACGGGGATGGGGAGTTATTTTGAGAGCACTAGGATTAGGTAGCCTTAGATAAGAGCTCTGCTGGTTTAGTTTGCGGAAATTGAGGCTTGCATAAAATTTACGAATACAGTCAAGTACCGGTATCTACTCGAGTACCGTCCTGAGACACGGAAGCTTGAGTGGAAGGGGAAGTGGGAGTGGAGGTGAAAGTGGATGTTCGACCGGGCCCGTCCACTTCATCCTAACCTTATGTGTTCTTTAGGAAGTAACTACCGTCAAGTACCGGCGCGCATGAAGCTAGGCACGGACGGCCAATTTACATTGGTTTTAGTTTCCTGCACAGGGCAAATATTATCAGTCACCTGGTAATTTGTACGCGTTGACATTTTAAGATCGCGAGTTTTCTTCTTCGAGTTACATCAATTATGTGCTACAAATTCCAAGTAAAAAGATTGATGTGGTTAGAGGAAAGAAGAGTTGATAGGACCTATCCTATGATCGGAGCAGGATTTATTGTAATTTTAGGGCTTTGAGGATATGAGGTTATAAAATTTGGAAACTGGGATGGGATACGATTTCACAACAGGTTGGAACAAAAATATGAAGTAATGTATTTGGAGTAAACACTTTATTTATCTATCCTGACCTATACCTATGTCTGTGGCATTGTTGTTAAAACGACAGTCTATCAATTTAGTTATCTTAACTTATCGCCTCTCGTGCTTCATTTCCCCTCCACAAAATCCTCGTCTCGGGACCTGTTTCTTCATTCATGGCTCTGCGTTGGCTAATTGGCCTAACCTATCCCCATCCATACGACTGTGATACAGCATCTTCCCCTCCTTCCGGGAAATAACATTCGTGAGACTTGTTTGTTTGCCCATCCTTCTTCATTCGTAAAGATTCTCTCTTCTTTCATTTGACATGACCCGTCGTGCCCTTGGGTGATGCCAGTGTATAACCTCATATCGTATAACCTAATTTCCAGTCATAGTGTAGCGTTTTATCTCATCCCCATCCATCCCATCTCACTTCAAGTGCCCGTGTAAGATCTAACCCCATCATCTTTCGCACGACTCCAAGCCCTCAATCTCCCTTTCGCCTTGGATCCCGAGATTTGTCCATCTCTCACTGATCCCTCATCCAAAACCTTAGGTACAATTATGCTGCCAATGGTACTTCCCCTATTCCCAGGTGTATTATCCGAATTCAAAAGGGCTGCGAAAGAATTGCTCATATCCAAACTCGCTCTTAGACCACTGAATCTCTTGTTACCCGGAGATGTAGGTGAAATTAGAATAGGAGAAGAAGGGTCATGACTCATTCGTTTTGAGGCGAAACTGGTAAAGAAAGGCATCGAAGGGGTAGAAGAATGAGAGGAGTTGGAGTTTGATGAACTACTCGACGAGGTTCGTGATTTGCATTTGCGTTGGGATGATATTCGAGAGGATTCATAGAAATCCATTTCTAGGAGGATGGTGTGGAGCTGTTCGTCTGATTGAGCGAGGTTTGGAGCTGTGGAGGTGATGGGAGGTCCTTCGATGAATTTTGAGTGGCGGAGGGTGGCTTTTGAGGTTGATGAGGTAGACATTTTGTGAATGTGATAGTTGATATGCTCTGTTGTATTTGAAAGTCGAGTTTATATATGTTTATGGATTATCTGTAGCTTCTTCTATATGTATGTAGAAGGATATCGAGAGTTGTGGAGTGATATCGATATGTAGTTTTACTCTCACACAGTTTTGAAGAAAAATGTAAAGATTCAAGACAATATAAGACTTTGAATAGGTATAATATCAAATATAGAAAAGAACTAAGATATCGTCCGTACCTACTGGGGGAGCACTTACACTTTTAATAGCGATATCCGTTCTGTGTACAACATAAACTCCGGCTTCCTTGAGTAGAGTTCAAAGGAAAATTATTGAATCTACGCCCACCAAGCCCCGTTTGAGCAAGGGGTTTATTATCGACAAACCTAAATTGTTACACAGACCCTGCATATTGGTACCACTACAAATTGTAGTAGTGTAGTCTACAATGCTACACACATTTTGCCCCCAGGCCACCTCATCTGATACAGTTACCAGCATATTTATGTGAATGATCTGCCAGATTGCCAGAAAATTCACCATATGAAGGGAACTTTTGACGGTTGTAATAAATCAGCGGGATCTTATTGGATAGAGAAAGGACTTATGGTTTATTTGGATTCTGGGATTCTGGGATTTGGGTGTAGGCTGATTGGCGAAAAATGAAGGGGTTATGCATTGTCGAATATTGTCATAATGTCCATATAATTTCTTCATCACATCACACTACTGGGTACATAATACCCCTCTTAATTTCCATATTTTTATAGTATTACTGCGTAATACACTCATAAAACCAAAATCATGCGCATAACGCAGCTTAAATTATTTTAATTGTTAATTCGTTCTTCAATTTCGGGGTCCGTTGTACCTAAGCCCACCTGAGCAGCACGAAACCATTTAAATGCACGCCCTACATCATACTTGGTATACCGGCGAAATCCCGCTGTGCCCGTTTACCTTATGTTGCAATCATCAGCCTACAGAGTCACGAATATATTAATGGTGGCTTGTGTACTTGTAATATCAAATTAAGGATTTACTACTTAGTGTATGTATACTGTACAAAAAAAAGTAAATTTCTAGCATTTCGTTCGCAATCAAATTCAAATCCTTATCCTTCTCGTTCCAAATCGGATCTTTCTCCGTCTGTAACGACGTCATAAACCGTTGGATTTCTTATTCTGCATCTAAGATAAGGTGGTATCCGAGAAATCGAGGGTGGATGTGTAATCTGTATTTAAGGTTTGTGGTCTGGAAGGACCCTTATTTGAAAGCAAACTGCTTGTTGTCCGAGCGGGTTGTTCATGGCGGACAATTTTCTGGATTGGGGATTATGGCTGTAAGATCTAGGGATTAGACTCGATAAAGACCCGAGAGGATAGATTACGCCCAACTAAGTTGTTTTTTTGGTTCATGATGCCTTAGGTTCCTTGTATATATCTGGAAATAGAGTAGTATCCGATTTTGATACTCCAGGTTTGGTGACTGGAGATCTGCTGGAGTTGTTTGGTTCCTGCGCCTTATCTTATTTAGAAACGAACTCACAACCTACTGCTCACAAAAACCTATTGCATGAAGTATTCTCGTCATTATCAAATCTAAATTCCTACCAAATCCCTCTGATCCTCCCTCTTCAAAATTGGTAAGGCACATCCGGCCTGTAACTTTCATAGAAGCATTCGCTTACAAAAGGTACCAAAAATAACGAGGTCGGAGTTCCGGACTGCTCAGCCAACGCTTGGGATGATCTCCAGGCCCGTGTAATCCAAACTATCGAATGATATTTACTAAGCAAGACTTATTGTTTCTTATTGAATTATTCGGCTTCGTAAATTGTATGATTATCAAACGATGATTATCAGATATTGTGCTTGGGGATAGAAAATTTGGAGATTGTGAGTTTGCGAAGAGTACAAGCCTACGACCAGAACCTATTCCAGTCTGTCCGGGGCTTTTTGGACAAAACTCTTTTTCAATAATGGGTTCTTTTTGAATCTTGATGATATAGAATAGTCGGTGCTTCGAAAACATGATTCAAGATTGTTATAAGGCTAAAAGTAAAATTAGCTATAAATAGATTCAATTCAAGGCCCAAGATATTCTCCTCAACTACATAGGTAGATAAAGAGAACTTACGTTGATATCGCTTTCAACATCAGACAACAGTAGCCAGTCTTACTAAGGATATCTAACCCACGGATACAGCACATAACGAACGATGGACCCACAAACTAACACTCGAACCTTATTAAGCCTATTGAGGAGTCAATATACCCAATATATGTTTGAATCCCGCGCCCACTTCCATCAAATCAAGCAAACACAACCAAGCGGCTTTAGCTCACTTGGGAGAGCGCCAGACTGAAGTCAACTTCGGGAACAAAATAGATTCATCTGTTTATCTGGAGGCACTGTGTTCGATCCACAGAAGCCGCATTCTGCGATCTCGAGTCCACTCGGGATATCAACCTTTTTGATCTTTTTTTGTTTGATTTGTGTAACCTTTTGAGGGAAAACATGAGAAAATTTTGAAAATTTTGATGGTGGTGGGGTTGATGATACAACCAAGCGAAGTAAAGCTAGCGGGATGGGTGGGGTGATAACGACATTTTTGGGGCTTGCACGGCTTGGAAATGGATACTTGGTGGGGCTAGAAATGGATTCGACTTATGCTTTATGAGGAAATACCTATTTTTGATTTGTCCATATGAATTAGTTCTCTAGAAAACAGCGGGACTTCGGGTAGGTTTGCTTGATCATTGGTCAAAAAAAAAAATACCATCACAAGCCAGCCTTTTCCATCACGGAGTGAAAAAATTTGTATTCACTAGATCCAGTATCAAAACTACCCCTCTCAAGCTTATCTCTCCATCTGCCCTCGAAAAATCTCAAAAATTCCAAAAATCAATCAAAAATGCAAAAAAATTGATTTCTTGCAACGGATTCAAACCGATGATACTCAGGGTAACTCCCCACGCAGGGCTCGAACCTGCAGCCTCAAGATGAACTTGTAGATATGAATAATACCTAATAGAAGTCTTGCGCGCTACCATTGCGCCAGCAGGGATATCTTATGATTTTGTATGATGGGGTGACTCTTTTTGGAAATATATTAGGGAATTACACTACCAGTGCTCCACGTGGAACCCCATCGGGTATTTTCATAGAATTGGTCTCCATATAACTGAATTGGATAAAGCTATCACATCGATTAGTCCATGAAGGAGTCTAATCCACCATTTTTTACTTCAACCCTTTCGCTCTTGTTACATTACAACACTCATTTTTAATAGATTCCTTCTCAATACATATCAAATTCCAGTTCAGATGCAACGGAATAATAAACGTAATATGCTTTTCTGTATCCAACAAGTGTTGAGTATAAGGGTAAGTCGAGTGAAGAGCATTAACGACACAGTATCTCGTATCTACCCACAAAGCTTATATCTCTCCTTGCGCGATATTTATCTATATATATATATATGTGTGTGTGTGTTCAAGTTCACGATGGAATACAAGTGTGGACACTCTGAACTTTTGGGCAACCTTTACTTTGAGCTTGATTTCTTGTCATGTAATATACCTTATAATATACAACGTCGGCGACGGGCTTAGTATCTTTTGTAACCTGAGTGACGATGAGAAATATGCTGGGTGTTGGGTGGTAGATTTCCAAAGAGAATCTACATCTGATGTTAGTTTAGTTTATCAGGATACGATGCTTTTATTTTGTTGGCGGATGCAATATGTGTGTTAGTGAATAATGAAGCTCATTACATGATTTATTACATCTATGGTAGCGCATGAATGGGATATAGGTTGGTAGAGAGTGGTGAATGGGAGTAGTAGGGAATTAGAGAGTCTACTCAAATTTCAAGTTGGTCTATAGGGGAGCCACTGGAGTTAAACGAGAAATGGTATTTGAATCTACCAAATGAGAAGTCAACAGTCGGAGCAGGCTGTATAGAAGAAGCTGTCAAGTGATGGTTAAATTGCAACTAAAAGCTATCAACCCTTAACCCCATTTAATACATTTTTCTACATCTTGTCATCAATCTGAGCCGAATCTCAATTTTCTCTTTGTATATATTTGTCATTGTTTGAACATTTCTTCTTGAGGAATGTGTACATACATACACTGGACAACCATAGGTCAAAATTTCAAGTTTAAAGTACATACACATAACCAAGATAACTCAAAGCCACACTGGCATTGATCCCAGGTGAACATCCCAGCGGGTGAACATCCGCATCATTCAAGCTCACCGAAAGCTTTAAGCAACCTCGATATTTCGAGATAATCATTCCCATCTTCAACATCTTCGAACATGACCCACCAAATAATCCATACAAACCCAGAACCTGACGATGATAATATACTAATATCAAATCAAACACTAATAATTAACTAGGTAGGCGTATATACCTAAGGTATACATGACCAAGTTTGAGATGAGAATGACTTGGTCATTTTCTATGTATAGAAAAACAAAAATACAGATATTAATCTTGATATTTTAAAATGAGAATTAAGGTGGTATTTTATGATTAGATGCTTGATTTTATATATACTTTAAAACAATGATCAGTGATGAGAATTATAAGAATTGATATTAATGCAAGACTATACGCGGAGTATTATCATCTAGATTTTAACATATAAATATGCCCGGCTCGTCTGGTTAATTCTTCTGTAGATGAATATTGCGAAATAGAAGAAAAGCTAAATAAAGTTTGGGATTAAATGTAAATAGAAGATGAAAATACAAATGTGAATACAAATAGGTGTAAATATAAAAAGTTGAATCCAAAACCCCGATAAAAACTCTTCAATATCAAAAGTTAATATACCTTCTCAATCAATTCATACAGCACTTCAAGTTGAAAATGTTACAAGTTATAAAAATACTTTTTTCATTTCTCATGTACAGTGTATACGGCCATTTATCATCATATGCTGCTCATCCTGAATTCCGCGCCGAGTCCCGCTTACGCTCCATAACCCCCCCCCCAACCACAATACAACCCAAATCTAGAACAAGATATTCTTCTAGATGATCTAATCAAACAACCATAATGAAACCACCAATAAATAAATCACCATCTTCTACCATAAACCGAATCTTCCACCTTTCTGGCTTGAAAAGGGTTTGATGTAATCTTCCTTGGCGCCGATGCAATTTGTGAACCGACGCTATCCAAACTCACCGCACTCTTACTTGGACTTCTAGTAGCGGACTCTTTCAAAATTCTAGGTTTTGCGCCCAGATCATACGCACCTGCAGCAGGTGGAGCATGCTCGGCGTCTCTTCTAAATAATTGCAGAATCTCCTTCATGCCCAATTTACCAGCACCACCTTTACCACCTTCGATGGTTTGATTTGCAAGCTCTCGTTTCTTTTCTTGGAGAAGTAGAATTCGCTCCTCAACTGTGTCTTTAATGGTGATCTTGTAGACAATAACGTCGATTTTCTGCGTAAGACGATGTACACGATCGATGGCCTGTTCTTCAACAAACTATAAAAAAAAATCAGTAACTGTAATTGCGTCGTGAAATGGAGATCACAGCGAGGAAACTTACAGGATTCCAAAATGGCTCAAGAATAACTACACGGGTAGCAGCTGTAAGATTAAGACCTAGAGAACCACACTTCAAACTACAAAGTAAGACTCTACAATTCTTGTCGTTGCGAAGCCTATCCAAACTGGCCTCACGCAGATCGTTCTTCATACCACCATCATATCGAGTATATTTGAAACCCTTTTGGCGTAAGAATGGCTCAATAAGATCCAACATTGACGTGAACTGCGAAAAGACGATGAACTTATGCTGAGCTGCTTCCTTTCCGAGAATTTTCATGAGATGTGTGATTTTGGTAGATGCAGAAATTTTGGAAAGCTCGGCCTCCTCATCAGAACCAAATTCATCCTCAACATCGGTCTCCTCTTCGGAGGATTCGTCCTGTTCCGACTCCTCGGCAGATTCTTCGGCATCATCTTCATCAGAGCTATCAAGATGAATGACCTTCTTCTTGCCAATATCTTTTATGTCGGGGAAAGAATCATCAAGATCATCATCGTGATCCGAATCAAGCCATTCACCACCGCCTTCACAGTTCTCATCTTCTTTTCCACCAGCCTTTCCAAGAGTAAGAGCGCTGCGTTTCTTATCTCCAACAAGCCATTCGCCTTGTTCTTCCTCATCATCACTATCTTCGATGATATTCCTATTCCTGGGCTTACGAATCGGAATTGGTTTGGATTCCTTGTGCTTCTTGCTTTTCTTACTCTTCTTCTCCTCCTTCGTTTTCTTCTTTGGGCTAAGCTTCTTTCCAGATATTTCGTCCAAATCTGCTTCGCAATCCAGACAACGAATGGCACCTTGTGATATAGCTTCTTTACCAAGCTCAATTTGACAAACCTCGCATTTCTTGGAGCCTACACCCAATGAACCAAACATGTCTGCCATATCATCAAAGTCGGTTGTTGATTTTGATTTAGGATTGCTAGTTTCAGCTGAGAGAGCATCGGTATCTTTTCCCAATTTACTTCCTACAAGCTTTGGATGATTACAAGCTTGTCTCAAGCGTAAAAGTAAGACTAAGGCACTCGCATAGTTGACTTTTCTCCCATCCATCATTTCTTCGATACTTGCATCGGTACGTTGTTCCAATCTTTCATAGAATCGGCGCTCTTCTGGTGAGAATTCTGCAAAGACTTTCTCGATTTTACGCTCGACGACCTTGAAACCTGTTGAATTGCCTTCTCCTGCAACAGAAGGCTTCCCTCCGGGATTGAGAGCTCCAGCCTTCTTTAAGATTTCTTTGGTGCGTCGCTTCATGAAGATCTGCAAATAGTGACGAAGACGCTTGATGGCTACATCACCTCTACCATTTTTCATTGGTCGGTCAATTTGGTCCTTCCATTCACGGAGATTGTCGAATGGCTTGATTCTCAAGAACTTGATCAGACTTTGTAACTCATCCAAATTGTTCTGCATGGGAGTTCCTGTCAAGCACCAACGGTAATGACTGCGAAGAGAATAGCATGCCTGTGTAGCCTTGGCGTTGCGATTTTTGATAGTGTGGGCCTCATCAAGAATGACTCTATACCATTGTAGACCAAAACAGCCGACCTTAATACCTTCATCATCATCATCTTTGGATGAGTTACCCCATTCCGAGACAAGAATTTGATAAGTTGTGATGACGACATCATATTTTCTTAGGTCTTGGAATCGTTTCGTACGTTGAGGGCCATGGTGGACACACACACGAAGGGAGTGACTGCTTTCAACCTTGTCCTTGATTTCGGCTTCCCATTGTCGAATAAGTGCAAGAGGTGCAACAACCAAAGTGCATTTGTCCAGACCGGAGGGTAATTTGCGTTTACTGTGGGTTTCATCAGAACTTGATGGTTTAGGATTGCTCAAAATGAGCGCAATCGATTGTAGGGTCTTTCCCAAACCCATGTCATCAGCAAGAATGCCTCCTTTGGGTACTATGCCTTTCTTTCCTGTGCCAATTTCTCGTCCAATCATCCACTCCAAACCTTCAACTTGATGGGGAAGTAATTTGACATTGATACCCTCGACAGTTCCGTCATCTTCTTCTTCGTCTTCCGATGCAACTTCAAGCTTTTCATCTCCTTCGACATTTAGCCCATCCATCTGCGCCATCAAGTCGTCAACCTGGGCATCCTTCTTCTTTCTGCGTGATCTAGTCCTAGGTCTGGCATCTTCCTCTTCCTCAATAACACCCTCTAGAAGTGCTTTTAAATCTTCTTGTGCCTTTGCAGGATCAACATAAATATGTGGCTCGTTGTAGTTCGGCTTAGGCATGGTAAGATCCACGTAATTATTAGACGTATAGGTGTTTACAGATTGAAACCCTGAATTGCTGTTTGGCAGGGAGCCGAATATCGGTGCCGGTGCAGGGTGAGTTGTTGCGTATGATGAGGAGCCGGGAATCGGTGCACGAACAGCTGGCTGGTTGTATTCAGCTGGAGCCCGTGGCATGAGGGGGTTGATAATCTTTCGGGCTGCATCTTTTGCTGCTTGTAAATGCG